TAAAATTATTTACTTAAAATATATTTATAATTTTTTATAATAATTTTAAATAAATTATTTTACGGTTAATATATAGATCTGCTGTTAAATATTACATACGTGTTATTACTAACCCGCCATAAGATAAAATCCGCTCTGTAACGAGTTAACGAATGCAACACTCGCTTTCGAAACAGAGAACGCATCTGCGATGTCGTTGAGAAATACGCCAAAACTGAAAATGATACCGTCGACGAAAAAGTTGCACATAAAGGAGGCTGCAACAATCACCCAGCCCCATCCTCCGTCAGGTGGTACAACCATTTCCACTTCGATGGTCTATTGACAAATGTTAACGAAACATTTACAATAATTAAAAAAAATCATTAAATATCATACGTAAGATAATTAGTGTGTATTTATGTAAAATTATGAGGAACAACTATTTTTGCATCCTATCACAATAACAACTCATTGCGATGTTTTCCTCCTTACTTTATTAAACTTTCAATTAGGTAAGATCGGTAAATAATGCTGTATTACCCGATAAAATTAAAATTAAAAGTTAAAAATAAAGATAAAATTAAAAGTTTATAATAAAGTAAGGAGGAAAACATTGCAGTGATTTGTTATTGCAATAGGATGCAAAAACAGTTATTCCTCATAATTTTACATAAATACACAGTAATTAAAGAATTTTATTGATATATTTTATATCAACGAAATATATTCTTTTGGAAAATATATAATATATTAGTGAGAAAAGGCAAGATTTTAGATTAACGAAACGTAGGTAACTTTAAAAAATTATAATCTGTTTATTGCAATATAATATTTTCTTATAAAAATTAGCAGAATAATAAAAGCATGAAAATTAAAGTATATAAATATTGCATATAAAAAAGCACTTGAAAATGGTAACTTACCTGATAAATAATCAAAATTTGCTAAGATTTTTTAAAGAATACACAGTCAACTTGTTATGAGGATCGGACTTATGCGGACAATCGCAATGAAAAATATTAGAGACTTATAACTTTTAATTAGTATGGAAATTTGTGCAAACCATGTATACGTTGATTTTGAACAAGAAACAAAAAGCTAAAAGCGTTAAAATTAGGGAAAGTATGTAAACATAAATTATTTAAATATAATCGCGCATATAATTTTGATTTACCTACCGATAAGATAGTAATTGTTAGGTCATTCTTAAATATAAAATAATATTAATTTATATATGCTGCAAAAGCTTTATGGAGATATGTATGACCAAACATAATGATGTCTACATACTTAAGATTTAAAACGTAATAACTACAATATCTGGTTTATGTGATTTACTTATGTTTTAAATACCGTCTATTTTAATATTTGTTGAATTAAATTATATTTGCAAATATTTTACATTTATAAATATTCAAAATTTATTCTTAGAATAAGTTCGAAATTTTTAAATAAGGTTTTATTAATTATTAATGATTAAAGTAAAATACTAACTATTAATTAAAGTAAAATTTACTAATTATTTACTAATTATTATTAGTAAAGTGTAAAAAAGCTAATTTGAAAAATTAATTATAAACAAAATTTAATTTCGAAAATTATTTATTTAATTTGTGATTTTTCAAAAATTATAATTTAAATACATTTCGATTATTTATATAAATTATTCACTTAATATTATTCCAAAATGATATGATTAATGATTTTGATTAAAGCAGATGAAATCATTTCTTAATAATTGGCTTGAGAAATAATTATATACTTTTTGTTAATCGTAATTGATATTGTATTTTATTTGCATGAAAATGTACATGACCAGTTTGCGCAAGCAGCAGAATTGTATGTTCAAACTACATATTAGAAATTTCGTATCTCGATTATCAATAAATTTTAAGGGTAGAGATAATTATCGCGTGAGAGTTGTTTTCTCGCATGTAAGAAAACACGATACGATAGGTATTATATACTGAAGCTAGTTTGGAGAAGCGGCACGAAATTAGTTAATTTGCGAGTTTCCTCTTGATATTCAATATAAACTTGATGACTCGCCTTCGCTCGTTGGAAATTCACAACGTAGCTAAAGTCAAGGCCATTCAGGCATTCAGAAAACCGCCGAGAACCCGGTTTTTAGTATTTCGGTCGTTTCGTGACCCAAAACTTTAAAAGTTCTCAGTCTGGTAGTAGTCAAACCGTGTTCATAAAAAACGTTGACTTGTCGCAGGTGGCATTTGCTTTCGGTAGGTTCGATATAAAACGTTTTATTTAATAAGAGAGAGATCTAAAGGAAAAAATTAATACAGATTTATTTTCGCAAGTAGAAAATTAATATTTTTAAATTCTTAAAAAGATGAAAGAAGAATTTGTGAAAAATACACGGAAAGAATGATTTTTTCGAAGTATCTAAAAATTTAGAGACAAATTTAGAGACCAAAAAAATGATTTTATTGAATTATCAAAGTATATATGTATAGGACGGTCAAGCTGATTGCTAAAATCAAAATTTTTTGCAGCATTGCTCTCGTCGTGTTTAAGTTTCCTATATAATTATTTTGATAGTCCAACACAATTATTTTCAAGTCTGTATCTAAACTAAATTTTTAAACATTTAGCAAATATTCTCTCCGTGTATGCTATAATCACATTATAATTACATACTACCATTATATTATAATATAATAAAAAAAACTTATCCACTATATTAATTCATATGCTCGATCTAGTCTCAATAATCTGAATCAATTTAAATACAACTTCATGAAAAGAACGAAATCATTAGTGAAGTATTTCTTACAATTCAGAAAAATCATCACAACGGCTTTCATTTCCGTTGATGACAGAAGCACTTTTCTACACGATTAAAAACGTATACGTGTAATCCAAAGAGATTTGTTGAAAGTTCCAGCCTATTTGAGCAGAAAGCGGCACGTGTTGTCGGTCATTCGCGGTATAAAAATCAAGAGGAGCTTTATCGTCGTCCGCGTTGTTAATTTCCAGACAGACAGATAAAAAAAATTCAGTCGGGAACGCGGATCCGCCCCTGAATGACCCACAGCGAGACAACGACTACTATCGGGTCCATTATGTGTCGCAAATAAAGCGATATCGCGTTTGCAGTTTTACAGCGTACGATCTGTCCGTCGCTCTCAACGCGAACGTACTGATCGTACAAACAGGACTGACAGCTGCGGCGCGAGTGATAGCACACGGCGCGATTTTTTGCATTTTCTGCATTTCGATGCACCTACACGCGAGAAAATGTCGCGGAAAATCACCTCGTCGTTGTTATTGTCATTGACGTCCTGAAGCTGCAGCTCCTCGCTCTTGTTAGTCTCGTGACCATTTTGCTGCGGCTTACTAGCGTCAGAAATCTGATCATCCACTTTGTCCACCGTTGACATCGTCCCTTCCGAATATCTAAAACGTGTAAAACGCCACTTAAAATCTGTTCAACGATGACAGACACAATGTGATAGACACAATGTGTCGATAAACATAATCTGTTAAAAATACACTTGATTTACCAAAGATATAGAGCATGGACCGCGCCATCCGTATCTAAATAGTATATCAAATGTGGTCAACAAAAATGAGAGAAAGAGAGCGTGAAGACAGTCAATCTCCCTCTTTTTCTAGAGTATTGAGATTGGTTGAATAGAAAGAGATAGAGAGTCGTCTTTTTACGTCCTACTTCTTTCGTTTTTGTTGACTAATTTTACACATAAATGGCGCATTTATGTCTTTGATTTATACTCCGAAAAAAACATAATAGAATACGGAAAGAATGGTTTCGCTAAATATCTAAAAATTTAGTTCGATACAAATTTGTAAATAATTTTGTTGAATTATCAAAATAATTATACATATAGGACGTTTGAACTGATTGCTAAGATGTCAAATTCTTGCATAAAAACCAATGCTTTCGGCTGCATTGCTTATCGTGCTTGATTTTATTATACATATAATTTTATAATTATTTTGATAGTCTAATAAAATTATTTTTTAGAGCTCTGTATTTATTTAAATGTTTAAATACTTCAGCAAAATTGATCTTTCCGTATAGTAACTATAAAGGTATAACAACTATACAAGATTTATATGTATATAGTTGAATAAATGCATATAGAATAAATGTATACAGTTGAATTAACTAATGTACATAATAAATTATTTTCTATTTGGAATAATTATAAAATAGTTTATCCATTTATATTATACATAATATTATTATGTCACTACTATAATTATATATAATATAATGTATACTAATAAATATATAGAATCTAAATTGTTTCTTAATTATTATGTACACTAATTATACGTATACAAAATTTGTATAGTTGTCACTTTTATAATTGCTACTGCTATGTCTTTTTCTCTATAGGATAAACTTGAGTAACATGACCATCTTTAAAATGCAAAAATCACTTTTTTGTTATCTTTAATAACCGGTAATATAAGTTATATATTTGACAATTCCGCCATAAAAGGTACACCAATATGACACTATTACATTATACTATTACATGATACTAGACAAGTTTACTCTATATATTAATGAAAACTTAAAAAAAATAACTTTTAGCGATGCGACTAGAACAAGAATTAACAAATATGGCCCCATTTATTTTATTATGGTTCACGTAATTATTATTACATTTTGAAGTTTTTTAATAAAACATTTGTTTTTTATTGGGTGCTATTGCAAAAATGAAGATATTACATCTTGTAATCGATTTACTAATGCGATGTTTTTGTCCCCAATGTTTATCTACATATTATATAGTGATATCTACAATATTACAACATTTTTGTTTGAAATAGACGATAAACTAAAAGAAAAAAAATATCGGTAAATTACGCATCGCCTTGTTAATACGTAAGAATCTCTTATTCACTTTATATTCTTTTTGCAAAATTTTGCAATGACATTTTACAATTCTGTTGATAATAAGTGTCCAGGATTAATCTGGTTCAAAGGAATGCTTCTCTAAAATAACATGGATAATTAAAGCGACGTATATCTATACTGTATCGTAATGCAATAAAACTTGAGTGAGTGATTCTTCTCATTCACGCTGATCAACGTCTAATTAATTTAAATTCGTTTGTTTAAAAATGATTAGATGACAGATTTTGCAAACAGATTGCATGTCATTTTATGGTATGCTCGAATATACAATATGTTCATGAAATAAGTAATGCAATTACATTGAGAAAAAAGTTATATTAATGATAAAAAAGGAAATTATTCACAAATAGCCAATTTTCTTTGGTCAGTTTTGTTAAAATAGCAAAATATAACATTTTTTTTATTATAGGAGTAAAATCGAAAATAATTGTGATAAAATACGACAAGTATTTTCGATTTATCTTAAGGAAAAATCTACTTAGATCAAATCAAAATCATACAAATGTAGATAAAAATTATCTCTCTGCACTACGCTATCTAAAACATCTTGCATAACATAACATCCAATAGATATTGTAAGAAGATTCAAAGGCAAGACCACCATATTATTTATATTATCATGATCAGTGATACCCGATAGCCCTTTTTTTCTTGTGCATATATAAAGTAATAACATCAAGGTAAAGGATCAATGATTTGATTATTAATTTACTGTCGATGAAAGTGAAGTGTTGAACTGTTTGATGGTCACATGGCAGTAAGTTTTTATATTGATTTGCTTGGCCTTGATCTTTCGAAATTCAGCCTTTCTTGATCTTTCTATTCCAATTTAATCGCAGGCATAGTGTTTTCGTTATACGACATCTTGGTGACGTTTAAATGATAAGAGCTACTTGAAGATATATTACATGAGCTGATTGTTTATTGGTGTCACGCGGTTAATTGTTGTTAATTCTGGAATTTAATAGCGACAATATAGTCGATAGCTAAGATTGCGATTCGTTATCAAGAACAGTGGATAAACAGATATTTATAGGATTAGATGGTTTTCGTTATCGCAATCAATTGTTTTGCCATTATGTCTAACAAGTTAATTTTTAGAAATGCTTTAATTAATTTGAAATTTTTCGAGAATGTGATTAATTGATGTTTTTTTATAGGGAAATTATTGTTTTATGCGTGAATCAATCTTTAACATTTATAGATATCTTCAGAATTAATCTTAAAATTAATGAAGAAAATTTAGTAAAAATATTACTAAAAGTTTTACTACCTATTAATTTTCTTTAAAACTTAATACTTGAGAGATCTATAATTTCAATCACTTGCAGTTTATTGATTCTTAATGACAAAATTAGCTCATCTGTGATTATGAATAGTAAATTAATGAAAAAATTTTCAATCTCACACAGAGAACATGATTCCAGATAAATTTATATCCTAATACGATTAAATAAAGATTAAAACAATCAATTCATTAAAATTCTACTTATTGATTGAATAGATGTTTACAAAAAATCAACAGAAAAATTATAATTATAGTAATATTTTACACATTAATTTAAAATATCGAATCTAATTTGTGAATCTCGAGTTTGTTGTCTTATAAATCGATGATAAGGTAGGCTCAAATCCAATCAGTAGATAGATATATTAATATTAAAAATATTAAATAAATATTGAAAATATATTTTAAAAATATTGTCTGTTGTGATTTAAGCAAAATATTTATATCTTCTACAACATACAAATAACTTCAATTCGGAGCATTCTTAAATATTCGATACCAGTTTTATTGCTTGACCGATTGCGTCAACTCCTTCTCTTTCTCATTTTTTCCTTTATTACTTTTTAAGACGCCTTGCAATATACATGTGATTATACTGTCTGTCTCTCAGATACAATATCAAAAACGATTAAAAATTATGACCTCATCTTACGCGCATATACATGCTACTTGCAAAAAATTGTATTATGCACAGCTTCAGCAATTATCACGCAAACAGAATCGTGTAAACTTTCCTAATGGATAACTGACACATTTATTTTTAGCGTGACTTCGCTTATTTTATCTACAATGATCTGAGAAAGGAGAAAGTAAATTCAGTAGAAACTGCAATATTGTTCCACTTTTTTCTCGCTGTCCTTGATAGACTCTATCTGATCGTAATGACGATTTCGATCATGGATAAAATTTAAAAAAAAAAAAAAAAATACACACATATATTTATATTTAAATAAATATAATTAAATGTTCTTAAGTTTTTAATATAACAATAGAAAACAAAAGTATATAATATTTTTTTATATTAATATATCTTTATCATATCTTTAATTATTAGATATATCTTTAATATTTTATTATTTATTATATTACATGCTATTGATATTATATTTACAATATTTAATTATTTATTTATATTTATATAAACATTGTACATTTTTTACTTGAACATTGATATAGATACTAAACCGTGATCTCCCACCATGAATCTAATCGTATAATTAGCAGAATATTTTTTTCTGATTCCTGCTCTGACCGACATTATGATACTACATGGGACCGATTTATAAAACTAATTAGGTATACATCTATATGTAAAATCCAGATTATGACTTATTCATCGACTGTGCTATTTCAGATACAATCAGTAACACAACAGACTTATATTTTCGATTAGATAAGTAGATAAGATATAGATTATTATCGTGTTATTTGCATATCAGATCGATGAGTGACATAATAGACCAAGTTTTCTATCATGATTGAATTTGCTTCTCTCGAATAATTTCGTAGACAATTTATCGCACAGTTTATTTACTCCGTGCTTTTTCTTTTGCTTGTTACAAAATTCGGTCTGCAAAGATTTACGCTGATGAAGCAAAGCGTATGTACGTCACACATTTACATACATGTGTGAGATATCAATGCGATGCTTTGACGCAAAAATCCATGCGTTATTAGTAACAAAGAAGCGCGTAATTAGGACAGAAAAAAAATTATGAAACGAGATAATCGCGAACTCAAACACGTCTCCATAACAATTGCTCCTAATAATCGCTGCTATAGAAACGAGGGTAGTTTTTGCACGAACCGATGATTAACTCTTCAAATACCAAGATAATTTATTATCGACGCGCAACGGATAATGCAATTCTGTTAACTCGCTGATAAATTATGCCCGAGTAACTGTCAAGCGGGTAGATATCCTCTTACTTTTTACCAGATAAAGTGCCAATAAAGCTCCGCGATTTTACGCGAAGTCGTAATCGCCACGTGAGGCGATTGCGGCTTATCGATCGACAATAAATTACTGCTACTTCAAAGGGAATTATCATTCGCAAGGGGATAATGAATAGATCAACATCCAGTCAGTGATAATTGTGAAGAATCTCGCCTCTAAGAAACAAGCACGGAAACTGAAGTACACAAGCTTATTGTATCTTTCTAGAATAAAGAAGATATGCAGTACGCTTCCGCGAAACGTATCTCATTAATTCATGT